CTATGTAATTATACTACTGGTACAACTAACTCTTTCTAAAATTTTTATCAGCCACCAGTAATCATGCTTCAGATAAGCCTTACGATCTATGATATCATATTTTTGAATAAATTACAGTAGAGGCAGTGGAGTGGAGTAGCTAAGAGGACAATGGAGCTGGAGTGTCTGCATTTGAATCCCGGTTTTGTTTGTTTGTTTTTTAAGATTTTATTTATTTGAGAGAGAGAGTGCAGAGCGAGAGAGAAAGCACAAGCAGGGGAGACGGGCAGAGGGAGAGGGAGACAGAGACGCAGACTCCCTACCGAGCAAGGAGCCTGACCCAGATCCCAGGACCCTGGGATCAATGCCTAAGCCAAAGGCAGACACTGAACCGGCTCAGCCACCCAGGTGCCCTTGCGAATCCCAGTCCTTTTAATTACAAAGCTGCGTAACCTTGGACAAGTTACTTAATCTCTTTGTGCTTTTGCTTTAATCTATAAAATAGAGATAATAGTAATACTTTTTAGGAGTATTAAATGGATTAAATGAGTTGATAAATGTAAAAGCACTTAAAACTCTGCTGGGCACATGATAAGCATTATTTAAGGGTGTTACCTATGATGGAGATGATGATAACAAGGATGCAGCAGCAAGCAATTACATTTAACAAGTTAAATAACTTCATATTAAACTGGTAGATATTGAAACTTATATATTCTTAGGTTTTGAAGCAAAAGTTTGATCAGAAGAATAATTGTATAAATATTTTATAATTAAATATATAGTTGACCCTTGAACAAGGTGGGGGGTTAAGGGGCACTAACAACCACCTGTCACCTTTGACTTGCCAAAAATTTAACTATTAATAGCCTACTGTTAATTGGAAGCCTTGCTGATAGCATAAACAGTCAATTACACATACTTTATATGTTACATGTATTATATAGCATATTCTTACAGTAAAGGAAAGAAAAACAAGTGTTATTAAGAAAATCATAAGGAAAAGAAAACACATTTTTAGCATTGTACTGTATTGAAAAAAAACCTGGCTATAAGTGGACCCGCACAATTCAGACCTTTATTGGTCAAGGGTCAGCTGTACTTTAGTAAAGAAAAAAGTGTTTTGTAGAAAGTTTTAAAAATAAAAAGACGAAAATGGGTTTGTAATCCATATATCTTGAGTTTACTATTTGGCATGCCAGGTCAGATCTTTTCATATGCAAAACCCCTCTGCTCCAAAATGTGATCATACTGGGATACTTTTTTATCATTTACTTTTCTGTTTATCATACACATTCCTTGTCCTGCCATAGATGTTCTTTAACAATTTCATTTTTAATGACTGCATGGTTATCTTTTATATTGTTGTAATAAATTATTTTTAACAGGTTTAACAGGTTGGAAATTTAACTTGTTTCCATTTTTTTGTCTTCATAGTTAGTGAAGCAATACACATCATAAGTATATTATTGCATTATCTCCCCAACTGTTTCGTTAAGATAAATCCCCAGGAGTAGAATTGCTGGGACAAAGGCTTTGAAGAATTCAGTTGTCTTAAGATTGCCTTTCCCAAAGCTTGTACCAACTTACATAGTATTAGTATGAGAGTACTGATTCCTGATTCCTGATACCCTTACTGATGCTGAATTTTGTATTTAAAAATTGCCTTTGCGGGCGCCTGGGTGGCTCAGTTGATTAAGCGACTGCCTTCGGCTCAGGTCATGATCCTGGAGTCCCTGGATCGAGTCCCGCATCGGGCTCCCTGCTCGGCAGGGAGTCTGCTTCTCCCTCTGACCCTCCCCCCTCTCATGTGCTTTCTCTCTCATTCTCTCTGTCTCTCAAGAGAAAGCACA